GGGGGGTGACACAGGGACAGTGTCACACACAGGGGCAGTGTCACACACGGGGGTGACACAGGGACAGTGCCACACACGGGGGGTGACACAGGGACAGTGTCACACACAGGGACAGTGTCACACACAGGGACAGTGCCACACACGGGGGGTGACACAGGGACAGTGTCACACACAGGGCAGTGTCACACACGGGGACAGTGCCACACACGGGGGTGACACAGGGACAGTGTCACACACAGGGACAGTGTCACACACAGGGACAGTGTCACACACGGGGACAGTGTCACACATGGGGGGTGACACAGGGACGGTGTCACACACAGGACAGTGTCACACACGGGGACAGTGCCACACACGGGGGTGACACAGGGACAGTGTCACACACAGGGACAGTGCCACACACGGGGGTGACACAGGGACAGTGTCACACACAGGGACAGTGTCACACACAGGGACAGTGTCACACATGTGGTCACAGGGCAGTGTCACACGGGGCAGTGTCACTGTAGCTGTGATCAGTGTCACACATGGGGGGGTGACACAGGGACAGTGTCACACACAGGGCAGTGTCACACAGATGTCACACAGGTGTCCCACAGGTGTCACACAGGTGTCAGTGTCACTGTAGGTGTGATCAGTGTCCCACAGGTGTCCCACAGGTGTCAGTATAAGCGGGGTCAGTGTCACACAGGTGTCAGTGTCACTGTAGGTGTGATCAGTGTCACACAGGTGTCACACGGGTGTCACACTGGTGTCAGTGTCACTGTAGGTGTGATCAGTCTCACACAGGTGTCACACAGGTGTCACACGGGTGTCACACAGGTGCCAGTGTCACTGTAGGTGTGATCAGTGTCACACAGGTGTCCCACAGGTGTCCCACAGGTGTCAGTGTCACTGTAGGTGTGATCAGTCTCACACAGGTGTCACACAGGTATCACACAGGTGTCCCACAGGTGTCAGTGTAAGTGGGGTCAGTGTCACACAGGTGTCAGTGTCACTGTAGGTGTGATCAGTGTCACACAGGTGTCACACAGGTGTCACACAGATGTCACACAGGTGTCAATGTCACTGTAGGTGTGATCAGTGTCACTGTAGGTGTGATCAGTGTCCCACAGGTGTCACACAGGTGTCCCACAGGTGTCCCACAGGTGCCAGTGTCCCCGGGGCTGCCCTCAGTGTCCCCACGGTGTCCGTGTCCC